AGGGGAAGGGACGGAGGGAGGAGGTCCGGTGCGCCGAAGATGGTGGAGGTGCGAGTGAAAGGTGAGAGAGGATGTCGAAAAGTTGTAATAACGAAAAAGAGTAAATTATAGCGTAAGAGAGGGGTGGTGGAGGTGGATGGTGTTTGGAGGGGGGGAGGCGAGTGGAGGAGGTCCGGTGGGCCGATGATGGTGAAGGTGCGAGTGAAAGGTGAGAGAGGATATCAAAAAGTTGTAATAACGAAAAAGATTGAATTACAGCGGAACAGAGGGGAGGTGGGGGTTGGTGGTGGGGGAGGAGGTGAGGCGAGTGGAGGAGGTCCGGTGGGCCAAAGATGGTGAAGGTGCGAGTGAAAGGTAAAGGAGGATGTTAAAAAGTAACATTTCACTATCCGTCAAATAACGATATTTTTAAATACGGACGGACAGACGGACAGACGGAGAAGGAGACGTTTCTTAATTTTTCATTAAAATCATCAATTTTCGACCGCTTATATCTCGAGAACGGCTTGACCGATTTAAAAATTCCTTGGCTCAAATTACTCGTGGTGATGCCGCCTTTCAGGACATATGACGTTCGATTCAAAATTTTTTATATTTTAATAGTTATGCACCTCCCAATAATGGACTTTGATGGCTCGGGATAAGAGACTTGTAGCGTCTCAGAGTTTTTTTGAACATGGCCGGAGACGCTACCGCGTCTCCTGATGCGAACGAGTCTAAATTTTAAAGCGTTGACAAGAAATTACTCCGTGGAACAATCGTAACATACGATGTGACGCTAGCCGACAGCGATTCTATAACGCGTAGTAACGCCAGTCTCGACTTTAAAGAATTCTCAGTAATTAACAAATACAAAAGTGACTTGGCGGCAACAAGGGCGAGCAACGACAGTAATTATACATTCTCAAATTGGAGCGTCCGAGCGGATGGCACGTACTCACGGCAACAATGACTCGAAACGCCTGTAGGCGGCCGATCCGGTATCGGCAACGAAATATCGGAGTAAAGCCTAACGTGCGCTCCGCTCGAAACGCATTTCACATACCGTGACCAGTGGTTTTACACAGATTATAAGACGACGCTCGCCTCACCACTGGACGGTCCCTCGTCGATCCTGCTCGTTATTTCTCACGAGTCCGGCAACGGCAAGACGGTTTCACCTCTGAGGGAGCGCTCTGTCCGTCCTCAAACGATCCGGAGATTCTCTCGATAAATCCTCGAAATACCAGCGGGAGATCCTGTGCCCTCTTTACAACTCGATTTCGGCGCAAGTAGCGATTGGAAGCTTTCGCGGATCCACGCAAGCCGCTAGGCCCCTCTCCTATCGGGCCGCTTCCTGTTCTAATTGGCTTTTCGCAGCCGCGCAACCCCGCGACTAATCACAGCGAGTCCTGCTGGCCGCGTATCCTTTGAATGTCTGGCGCGCTTTTCCAAATTAGCAGGCCGAGGCTTTCCGTCTTGATCAGCAGTCTTCTATCGCTCTCCTCAGAAGTGGAGGCGGCTGCCAATGTTCGGGCCGTGCTGAGACGGTCCCTTAATACGTCTCTCTCCGAGGCATCTGCAATAAAGGTGCGACAATCACCAAATAATATCAAAATTAGCAGAGGTTACAAAACAATACGATATGCGTGTACCGCGCTTCTTGAGGACACAATCGGGATCTTCTTCGGTGGTTTCTTGCTTCCTCGATGTCTTCTTTCTTCCTTCCGTAAGTGAAGCGGCAAAATTACATGGATCTAAGATATCCACCGCTCACGCTCAAATGTGACTAAAAATCGTTATTGAAAAGTCTGAAAATAACTAAATATTTTACACAAAAATTATAAATTTGGCACGCTCGCTTGTGCCCTCGCCTTTCGAGCTTAGAGGACACAGGATCTCCGTGCCAATGCATTCACGAGTGACGGACATAAAGTGTCACGTCACAGTTCGTATATACAAGTGCGTGTGTGTGTGTGCGTGCGTGCGTGCGTGCGTGCGTGCGTGCGTGCGTGCGTGCGTGCGTGCGTGCGTGAGTGCGTGCGTGCGTGTGTGCATGTGTGTGTGTGTGTGTGCGTGTGTGTGTGTGTGCGCGCGCGCGCGCGCGATGTACAAATGTGTGCGTATGTTGACGAGACGGCAAACAGACGAGACGTATACAAGACGGTGACAGACGCCAGACGGTCGACTGTCGAAAACGTTCGACGGAGGCAGAGAACGCTCTACCCCGTTTTCGCGTCGGTCGTCGGTGAACGCTAGGAACTTGTGATTGACTGTCGAGAACGCTTGACGGAAGCAGAGAACGCTCTACCCCGTTTTTCTTGTCGGATCACTGAACAGTGCAAGTAGAGATGCGCACGAGACGAGACGAGATTTCGGCAATCTCGATCTTGATCTCACAAATATCTCGGTATTTGCATCTCGATCTCGATCTCGAATCTCGATCTCGAATCTCGTCGAGATTTCGTCGAGATTGGCGGAAAATAGTTTAAAGAAAGTACAGAATTCTTAAAAATTTAACAAAACTTAAAATTTTTAACAATTCTGTTTTTTTTAAACTATTTTCTATTAACCTTGACGAGATCTCGACGAGATCCAAGATCGAGAATTGTTAAAAATTTAACAAAACTTTGTTAATTACTTTTGTTGAATCTGCTGACTGCGTTCAACAGATTCAACAGTTGAGTGAGCGCTCACTGTTATTAGTGTACTCTTTTAGATCATCCAATTAAATTTTAAATCTAGAAGAATACATCAATAGCAATGAGCGCTCATTCAACTGTTGAATCTGAGTTTGCTGAACGTAGCCATTATATTTAAATCCATTACTGCCCATATAAGTATTTATTCCTCTCCTTGCATCGTCTGAACTAGTGCAAATAAATTGAAGCGAAAGAAATATACATTTGATTCACTTCAACTTATTGCACCAATTCAGTGCATGAATAAAAAGTAATCTTTAGATATTAATATCCATTAATTATTGCGAAAATTGTAAAATGGTACAAGACTTTCCGTCTCAGTTTAGTCTGATCTACCTGTTCACGATATCCGTCAGGTGAATTATGGGCCAGGGATGCCAATTCGTAGCCGGTTTACGACATCGCGACTAGCGCTATCGGTCGGCGGCCTGGCACAACAGGTAGCACTCACACAAGCACATGCTCGTGTACGTGTGATAGCAGAAGCGTGACGACTATCGCTTTGTCCTTGTCGCACTAAGTACTCTCCTTGTTCCCCTTCGGCGCGCTGAGAGCGAGCGAGACAGCGAGAGAGAATCTCGATGTTAATCATATCTCGACATCAGCGATGTTAATCATATCGAGATTCTTATTAGGGAACATTTTAGATATATATTGTGACCGTACTTATGAGAAACGGCACAACTTCGTCACTTCATCTCCTGCTCTATTTACGCGATAGCTCAAAAGGATGGACAAAATAAATAGCAAAAGTGCGGTTCTTCCTTCTAATTTTATGTGCTGCGATATTCGAGCCGTACAAATTTCGTTGGGCGCCAGGCACGAGAGAGCGTGCCGCCACTCTTCACACTAAGTTTTAAGATGTTATGCTCGGCCAAAGAAATTACAGAGCAGCGGAATTCGCGACGGACAAGATCGGCTAGCTCAGCCAACGGAATCGGCAGAGGGGGTGGTTCGTTCGGAATTCGCGACGGACAAGATCGGCTAGCTCAGCCAACGGAATTGGCAGAGGGGGTGGTTCGCAGTAAGCGGGGAAAATGTCGGAGAACGAGGTAGAGGCAGACAGAAATAATCAGACAGCAATTAACATTAATAATAACAAAGAGTTTCCAATTTATTCAATTCGCGTCGATACATGAGTTGCGATAATTTTCATAACCGCGCGGTCGCGCGTCGACGACAAGTTTACTTTATTACAGAGAGAACGATGGCAAGGTCGTCGACGGCGGTACTTAGAAATGGTCGACTCTAAGAACTTCCAGCAAACCGACAGCCTAATGCTGAGCGGTGACACGCGGCTCGACTTTAATCTTAAACCGGAATCTCAACAATTAATACGAACAATTTGACTTGGCAGTGACATGGGCGAGCAATAACGACAATCCTGAATTCACAAATTCTTACGCCCGAGCGGATGGCACGTGCTCCCCGATAGAGACAATGGCGTTACAATCTGCCGGTACGACATCGGCTAAACCAAATTCGCGTTACTTCTCACACGCAATCCGCTCGAAACGCTCACAAAATATTACGCGGTCGGTGGCTTTACAATAAAATCGGATAACGCTCGCCTCACCAAGGTATTCCTCCTCAGCCGTTCCTTCGGTCCTCGCGAGAGCCGACAGCAACCTCGTCGATGACGAATATTCTCGAAGTCCTTATAAAATTATGGACGAGATCCTGCGTCCTTACTCGAGGTCCGTCACTGCACAAGTGCCGATCGGAAGTTCTCGCGGATTCACGCAGGTCGTCAGGCCCTCTCTTATCGGCCTCTGCTTGCTCTAATTGGCTCGCCGCGACCGCGTGACCCCGCGACGAATCCCGCGGGTCCTCGTGTGTCGCGGATCCTTTTACGCTGTGGCGCGCTTTTCCAAAAGTCGAAAAATGCTTCCTGGTCGCTTGACGATCTTTTATCGATCGTTGCGGAATACGGTGCTTCGGCGAATGTCCTGCCTTTGAGTCCGTTCTCAGCTGACGTCTCTCTCCGAGGCGTCTGCAATGAGGGTGCGATAATCCACCAAATAATAGCGACATTAATAACAAATATGAAATAATACGACCTGCGTATGCCGCGCTTCTCGTGACTCCAGCTAAATCCTCCATACAGCAATCTCTTCCTCGTGGGAGGCGACGTCTTCTCTCTTCTAGCGATAGGTGAGACGGCCGAACACAAGAATACAGCATAGCCACCGGCTCTGATCGTGAATTACCGGTAAATCCGAGCTCAGAACCGTCTTAATATCAACTAAAACTTAACTAAATAGCGACAAGGAAGAAAAAAAAGAAGGAAAATAATATAATAATCGCAAAAGAAAATAAAAATAAATTATAATCTTCGGAACGATTTTTGCACACAATTTTTTCATTTCAAGTGTTCCTGTCAGAATTTCGTGAACGATTGTTTTAGGTATTGATAGTTCCTCAGCTATCATCCTAACTGTCAATCGACGGTCATTAAGTACACAACCACGAATTCGTTCAACGTTTTCCTCAGAAGTCGATGTGGAGGGGCGTCCTGACCGTTGGTCATCTTTCACGTCTTCTCGGCCTTCCCGAAACCTTTTCAACCACTTGTTCACAGTTGGTTCCTTCAGAGAATTGTCTCCATAAACTTGTTTCAAACACTCGAAAATTTCACGACCATTCTTGCCTAGCTTTGCAAGAAACTTGATATTAATTCGCTGTTCCTCAATCAGAGAGAGCTCCATGCCGACGGCAGGTAGAAAAAGGGTTACTTTAAACGTGCAAACGTAAATTCTTTGTAACTCGCAGAGCGCTCTGGCTCGAACTGAGCGTTCAGTGGATGGTATAGAGAGGGGAAACCACCGGGCCGCCCCTCCCCTACGCGTAGACGCCACGCCACGAACATTTTATACGTACTTTCCGGACAAACCACGTATATATGTAAGCTTTTAAATGTTAATGCTTGTGTAATGTGGATGAAAATAACAGTGTACACGGCACTTTTGTCAATAAGAAAAAGATACAAGGCGTTTATTTATCACGAGATACAAAGCACGTCGCCGTACAGCTCGCGCGTCTTCGCGTCTCTCTGCCGTCTTTTTTTTCTCGCCCTCTCTCGTCACGCTCAAGACTTATCTCTATCGATACCTCGCGATCGACACGTCGAATTGTACGGAACAATACAAAGTCACTAGAATAACCTAATCCTACACTCGGCCATTCGACTGACATCTGTCCTCAGATGTCGTTGACAGGTGGATCTTCTAAGAAGTTGGCCCATTTTTTCATATGATCTGTGGCCGTAGAAGTTCTTCGCGATCCTTCTCCTTCACCCACCTTCTCTACAATATAACGATCGTTACGCAGAACACGTACAACTCGATAAGGTCCTAGATATTTAGTAGACAGCTTCTGTCCTGGTCCATATTGTGTTCGCTGGATCGCCACCAGGTCGTTTTCACTGTAGTTATTCGGGGCCTTCCGCTTCTTGTTGAAGCTTCGTTTATTTTCAGTCTGAATTGTTGAAAAGCGTCCACTACTACGAATATATATTGATACTTCTTTTGTGTTGACGACATCGGGCCTAAGTGGTCTATGTGGTAGGTATCCAAAGGCGCCTCTTTTTCAATGGGGTGGAGCCATCCTTCTTGCCTGCCCATCTTTTTAATAGCCATAATACATTCGAGACAGTTCCGAATTACCTTATCAACTTTTGAATGCATGTCCTTGAACCAATAATCGGATTTCAGGAGCTGCTCTGTTTTTATACTTCCAAAATGACCTCGATCGTGAACTCGGTGTATTATCGGAGTCTGCATCAGTTTTGGTACAACGATTGGAATGTCACCGTCAATCTTCCTGCATAATAGTCCGTTTTCTATAACAAATTCATTCGTCTTTCCTTCATCTATTTGTTTGCGGATGTCTTTCAATTCTGGATCTTCTAATTGATTTAAACGAAGTTTCGCCATCATACTGTCTTCGCATTCTTCTATCAACATAGCTGCAGGTAACGGGTATCTACTTAAAGCGTCTACGTGCCGCATATTATTACCTGGACGATGTACAATCGAGTAACGAAAATTTTCGAGGAACAACGCCCATCTCGCTATCTGTGCGCAAACATCTTTTTGTTTCATTGTCTGCATGAACGCTTTACAGTCAGTTACAATAGTGAATGAGATCCCGATCAAATATATTCTAAACTTCTTTAACGCTCGGACTACTGCTAATACTTCTAATTTATAGCTATCATATTTCGCTTCTGCTGGTGTAGTTTTGCCGCTCGCGTAATACACCGGATGGAACATACGGTCCTCACTATCGCGTTGTAATAATACTGCACCAAAACCGAGCGCGGATGCATCGGTGTGCAGTTCGGTCTCTGCCGTTGGACAATATAAACGCAAAATAGGTTTATCACAGAGGGTTATTTTCAGTCGATCAAATGCATGTTCCTGTTCCTTTCCAAAATCAAATTTCTCCTTCTTTCTTAATAAGTCGGTTAACGGTCGCGCTATGTGAGCATACTGAGGTATAAATTTACGGAAATATCCCGTGAGACCCAAGAAACTCTGCACGGAACGCACATTTGTCGGCTTTGGAAAATGTCTTACAGCGTCAGTCTTTTCCTCAGACGGTGTGATTTTCCCATTCTCTACTACGTATCCTAAATAGTTTACTTTTGATTTTAACAATTGACATTTTTTCCAACTAAAAGATAATCCGTATGCAGCTGCCGTTTTAAGTACTCGCTTAAGTCGCGATAGACCCTCTTGTATGTCTACCGACGGTATAATAATGTCATCCATGTATAGCGCAACGATTCCTTCCGCCATTAAGTCACGCATAACCGCGTTAACATATTTCTGAAAGTATGCTGGGGCAGTACAAAGACCAAACGGCATCTTCAAGAATTCAAAATGTCCATTAGGGACAACAAAAGCGGTATACTTTCGACTAGCTTCCTCGACCGGCACGTGAAAAAACCCATTCTTCAAATCTAGAGTACTATATAATTTCGCGTCTTGTAAAAAATCTAATTGATCTTCAACTAAAGGTAAGGGATAACGGTTCTTTACAATCTTTTCATTTAATTTTCGGTAGTCTACACAAATTCTTTTTTCGCCATTCTTTTTGTTCACTAGGACAATTGGGCTTGCGTAATCGGAACATGATGGTCGTATTATCCCCTCGTCAAGCCACGTGCGGATTTGCGAATCTACTTCAGCCTTCTCTGCAACCGATAATCTACGCGCGCTCTGAACGACCGGAATATCATCAGTTATAATTATAGACATCTTGACATCTGCCACTTCTTTCTTCTTCGGTCTATATTCCCTCACTAAACGCTCTATTTCTTCTTTCACGTGTTCGTCTTTAATATGTGATACATTTATCGCTTTATCGTCTTGTACTACATCGATTTTATAAACCTCGCTTAACTCGCTCGGATTGTCCACAATTTTACAAATATTCACAACTCCTCTTTTAATATTTACTTCGACGTTATTTAAAAAATCAGATCCTATCAGCATACCATGAGGTATCATTCCGTCTTGAACGAGATGCACAATAATGTAGATTTCCATATCGATACAAATCTTTAATCGCATATCACCTAACGTCGCGTTTTCTCCTAAACCTGCTCCTCGGAATTTTAGCGTGTAATTCCCTAAAATTGGAGATCCTATTTCTTTATACTTTTCCTCGCATATCAAACTAATATCGCTACCCGAATCAATTATCGCATTCAGCTTCGTATCGTTTATCATAACATCTTTTCGGCATTTATTAGAATTAACCTGTACTACACTACAATTTTTTTTCTTTTCTACACTTTCCGGACACTTTGCTGCTATGTGACCATATTTGTTACAACCAAAACACTTCACACCTTGTTCCTTCGCAGGACACATCGCGCTCAAATGATTACTATCACCGCAGTTAAAACAACGTTTTCTGTCTCGCTTTGCGTCTTTATTTTCCGCGTTTGTCGACTGTTTCTTTTTGCTCTCGCTCGTCTTTGATTTCACTCTACCGATCATTTCGGCGTATATATCTAATTTGTCTTTTAACTCGCGGATGGTTTTAGCACCGTATAAAACAGACTTACGGTATTCGTCGTCATCGATCCCGTCAATTATATATTGAATGATCGCCTTCGTCTCCATATTTGCTCGTGCCGCTATCTCCATCATCTTATAGCAATATTCGTGATATGATTCGTTGGTTTTCTTCTTTCGTCGTTGTAGTTCTTTATGCACCGTTCGACTGTCCCCTTTGGCGCAAATTCGGACTTCAGAGCGGCCTTGATGGTCCTCCACGATTTCCCGCAGTCATCTGCCTTCACGAACAACCGCGCGGAGCCTCGTAACAGTCTTTTCGCGTAGATGGTTTTTTGTACAGAGTTCCACTCACACAATTCGGCTAACTCCTCGAATTCCTTGATTCATGTGATCACATTTCTGCCTTCATCGCCGTTGAACGTGTCGATTGACTCCTCCACGTCTTTGAAAGAAGGTATGAATTTCGATCGTCTGCGTTCTTCATTCCTTCCGGCGCCATCTGCGTCGGCGTATCGCTCGTCGTTGCTTTCGTCGTTGGATTCGTCGTTTCGTCTTCGTTATTGCCGCCATCATCCTCTTCACGTTGGTCATCTAAGACCAGGGCTGCTTTTAATCGCGTCACGAGATCAGATTTGTTGCCCGTTACCTTGAGGTTGCGTCCTCTAAGCTCTTCCTTTAATTGGGCTATCGTCATCGTGCTTACTTGTCGCGATTCTCCTGCGTCGTCGTTTCGCCTTTCGTCGTCCGACATGTTTTTTTCGTCTTCGTCTTCGTCTTTTATTCACTTCGATTTCTCGTGAGCCGCGATCCCGGCTGAGCCCCCAGATGTAAGCTTTTAAATGTTAATGCTTGTGTAATGTGGATGAAAATAACAGTGTACACGGCACTTTTGTCAATAAGAAAAAGATACAAGGCGTTTATTTATCACGGGATACAAAGCACGTCGTCGTACAGCTCGCGCGTCTTCGCGTCTCTCTGCCGTCTTTTTTTTCTCGCCCTCTCTCGTCACGCTCAAGACTTATCTCTATCGATACCTCGCGATCGACACATCGAATTGTACGGAACGATACAAAGTCACTAGAATAACCTAATCCTACACATATATATATATATGTGTGTGTGTGTGTGTGTGTATATATATAATTTAATATTATTAAAAATTATTATAAT